TTTATGGTTTTAAAAAAAAAAAAAATTTGGTTGATTGATAAATTGATTCAGTGTTTAGCACTTTCTTTTCTTCATGAGATTAGATGAGCACAAAAAAAATTTCTAAATCTCTTGCTTTAAATAAAGATTTGGGTAATTTGCTTTTTAAGCCCCGCGCTAAGTATGCAATAAAAATTTGCCAAATAGTTATATGTATGTGTAAATTTACATGCTTAATTTGAAAATAACAAAAAAATTTTGATAAAATCTACCATTTAGGAGTTATCGACAATAAAAGTTCGGACTCATTTACGTTGCAGCATGGCAGACATTACTGGTTTTGTTTGCATACGTTCACTGCTGAGCAGATTTGCGTGGAAGGTTACATTGTTGACAGCCTTTTTACGGTTCTTACTTGACTGAATTACTGCACAACTTAAGGACTCATTGCATGCTCAATAAAAAAGGTTATTCCGCAGCAAATATCTGCAAACAATGGCTGCCGCGATGCGAATGATTTTGAATTTCTGTTGTCGATAACTTCAAAATGTTAGATTTTTATCAAAATTTGTTTATTTTTGAACTAAGCATATAAATATAATTAAGCATATAAATATAACACCTAAATATAACTATTTGGCAAATTTTTATTACATATTTATGTGAGGCTTAAAAACAAAATTACCCAATGATTTTTGTAAAATAAAAAGAAATGTATATTCTACCTCTCAATAATGGAAAAAAACTGTTAATGGGAGTTGGGTCAGGGAATACTGCTGTACTGATGATGAAAACAACATAAACAGGTGAAGGGACCTATTTTGTGTCATGATTGGTTGCATTTGCTTCGGAAGAAGTATGTGAGCTGATTGATCGTCTGGCCCAGAGGCAAGAACTCACTGTGGTTGATGCCTCTCACATCAAAAAACATGATTTATTTGACTGTCTTGTGTTCTTCAGTGTCATCAGAGATTTTGACTGACAGCCCTGGTGCTTGGTTTCCGAATCGTACATGCCTCATCACTCTATGAAGCAAGTCTGGTTCAGTTTTAAGATGCTCGATGATGTCCAGACACACCTGCAAGAACTCACTGTGGTTGATGCCTCTCACATCAAATAACATGATTTATTTGACTGTCTTGCGTTCTTCAGTGTCATCAGAGATTTTGACTGACAGCCCTGGTGCTTGGTTTTCGAATCGTACGTGCCTCATCACTCTATGAAGCAAGTCTGGTTCAGTTTTAAGATGCTTGATGATGTCCTGCATGTGGCGCACCTTCTGATCATCATTCAGCAGCCTTGGCAACATTTTTGCACAGATTTTCCGCGTGCTCAAATCTTTGGTGATAATCTTCCAAACACTGTCCTTTTTCATATGCAGGTGACTTGTCATTCAAACAGTCAACCAACGATTGCCATGCCCCACCTGCCTAACCTGCTCAACGTTGATCCTAGTCCTGCTTGTTGAAGGCCTCTCGCTCTTGGAGCCATCTTCCATCTTCTCATACCGCTTTTTGAAAGCACGTGTACACGACATGGTGTTATCTCCATACACTTGCTGAAGCATGTCAAGTACTTGACAGTTTTCCCCAATTGAACCAAAAATTTCAGGTTTTTTTCATTGCTTGGTTTTTATCATTCTTTCCACAATGCTTATGGCTGAAGGACCTGATAAATAGGTGTAAACAAAAGCATGTGAAAAAATGCAATGGTTGTAGAAAGCTAAGCTTAGTTTTGTACTCCGAAGTTGTCATGTTAGATGATAGCACAATCTGCTTACCCCTCTTTTGTCCACAGTATACCCAGTTCCGTTACTTTTCAGATAGACTTCTTACATGAAAATACACTTCTTCCCCTTGCCAGCTCATACATAAGGACAGGCTGGGTTCTATAGCCTTGGGTGGCAACCAGTCTAGAAGAATAACAACTGTAAATCAAGACCTTAGATGGTTTCTTTGGTGACTTTGTGGCACTCTCATACCAGGCTCTTCAAAAAGTGCAGTTGCTTCAGAACAAGACATCACTATTATAATCAAGTTTGTATGTATTACTAGCTGTTGGGTTCTAAAATTTGCTGTACCCTGTATGTCAAAAATGATGGTCATGGTCAACTTCAGTGAACACTTCTATATTTATATTTCCATACATTCTATTGCTGGTATTGAGCACTTTTATCCATAATTTTTGCATATGTTAGAACTATATTTTTATTCTCTGCTTCTGTCTCTATACAGGGTGTAATGGATAAATTGTTGTCTAAATGGTGCAAAAATGAAAATAGCATTGACATCTCATTTTAACAGATATATTTGCCAAAATTGCACAAGAATATCTTGAAAAACTAAAGAGTAAATTTATTCAATAAAATTGCCATTGGCTTTAACCATACCCTGTTTGAGGATATTTACCTAAAGATAAAAACCTACATCGAAAACACATTCAAAAACCTACAATACCCATATCATTTCATCCACAACGCAAGAAGAAAGGCATACAAAATATACGACCGAAACAAAAATACTAACATAATCCATAATGATAAATTACATGAAAACAGATGCATAATACTACCGACCAACTCTGTCACGTCCACTATCCAGAACAACTTATCCCATCTAAATAATCTTAAAATAGTCACAGACACTTCCAAAACCATTATGGATATACTCAGATCCTCAGACACTAATAGCAATATTTCTAAAGCAGGCTTTTAAAAAATAAATTGCCAAAACTGTTCCTCTCAATATATTGGAAAAACAAGCAGAAATTTTTAAAAAATGCAATCTATGAGCACAAAAAAGACCTCACAAAAATCAACAACTAATGCACTTGTCATACATAGAAATAAATTCAACCACAATATTGATTTTAAAAAATGCTACACTCATAAAATAAAATAAAAAATAACTTGCTCAGAAGAAAAATCCTTGACAGTGTTGCCATTGAATATTATCCAAATATTAATCTCTGCCCAGGTTTTTTCCCAATATCACCTTTCCTAACAGAATCACTACTCTCCCAAATAAAACTGAAATCTCCACAAATATCCTTAAGGATATTTGTGGAGATTTCATAGTTTATTTTGTTCCTTAAATGCCTATAATTTATAACAGAAGCCATTGGTTTATACCAACGGCTTCCCATACTTAATACTTCTCATATTTCACTCTCGCGTGGTCATGTGTGACGTCATGAGCTGCAATGCGATTTTCGCTTCCGCGTCTCTTATATATGAGTTTGTCGTTACTTGGACTATCATTCTTGTTTCGTCTGTGTATTGTTTGATTTAATGAAATTGTCATCTTTGATAATGGCTTATGTAAGCCAAAAGCTTAGATAGGATTTAAACATGTATCAATATGGTGTTTTCCTTTTGTCTTTCAACGATAATGTGATTAAGCTTATCAGACAATATGAAAGGAACTTACTTAAATAGACAAAACTTGTCTATATTATTTAATGGAACATGCATTAATGAAAAAATATATATATATATATATATATATATATATATATATATATATATTTATATTTATATATATAAATTAGTTTGGGATAATTTGATAATTTGGGGCCAGCCAAACTTGAGGAATACAAAAATGAGGATCATTTGGCTCTACTTTGAAGGTAAAATCAAACTGTTCAGATCTGTATTTTCTTCATAATTGAATTCCTGCCGATCAATATTGCATCGTGTGTGGGAACTTATGATTACCTAAACAAAAAAAAAATACCCTACCTAGAGTAATGGCATACGAGTTGTCTTCAAAGTAGTCTCTTTGGGACATCATAAATTTATCACAGGGTTTGATAATGCCTCCCTTTTCATGTTTGTTTTTATTATCTGTCTCTGGATGTATAAACGTCTGCAAGCTCCTGTCTGCGCACATCACTGTGTCAATTGTGTGACTCTAAAGATCAAAGTTGTTGCATAGAGGAACTGATCTGCAGTATATTCTGGTTAATCATTGTGCTGTTGTATACAACTGTTCCATTTATTTTCTCAAATGCTTAACTACTTTCATGATGATTTTACATGCTTTCTTTTCAAAGAAACAATTCAGTAAGCTTTAAATATTCTACAATCTCATCTGATCCATATTTGCTTTCCTGTGACAATGCTAATTGAAACTTTATGGTCAGATTACTGGTAAAAATTAGGAGTAGATGGGTTTGCCTATCATCCGGTCCACGCTCCTCTCCGGTCTTTTGAATGGGAGTAGATGGGTTTGCCCATCGTCCGGTTCATGCTCCTCTCCGGTCTTTTGAACGGGAGTAGATGGTTTTGCCCATCGTCCGGTTCACGCCCCTCTCCGGTCTTTTGAACGGGAGTAGATGGTTTTGCCCATCGTCCGGTTCACGCTCCTCTCCGGTCTTTTGAACGGGAGTAGATTGGTTTATTTATTATTTCCTGTTTAGGATTTGGTTTATGGTTCCTTCTCATATCTCCTCTTGAAGTCTGAAGTTTAATTTACTATTTAGTTATTTATGTTTTTAAAATTTGTCTTTCCTTCACTAGGAGTAGATAGGTTCACATATTGTCTTGTTCACATTTCTCTGATCTTTTGAACAGGGCAGGAGTAGAGGTTTATCCCTTGTTTCTAGTTTAGCATTGGGTTTCTGGTTTCTTCAACAGTCTTCTCATTCTCTTTTACTCCTAGTAGCCCACTGCGTCTGAGTGGCATTAATGCCTTGCTTGGAGATCAATTGAAAAAAAAAAAAAATCATAAATAATAACCTCATCTTTTGAATTTACAACTACTATAGGTACTTTATTTGACAGCATGCTGGTCACCTCACCAATTCTGATCAACATTTAACCTTACAGTATCATGGAGTTAGGTTTGGTACAATTGCTGAAAGTTTTTTTTTTTTTTTTTTTTGTTTTTTTTTTCTTTTCTCCAGTGCCAAATATTTTAAGATAAATTTTTCTTTTTTGTATGAGACAGCAAAAAAAAAACACTCATTTTGTAAATTGACTTTTAAATTATTATTTTAAAAAAAAAAATTTTTTTTTTCAGAACTTAGAATGAATGGATCTGCTAACAACCATGTCAATGGAGTTGTCCCAGACGAAGAAAAAATTGCAATTTTGGATGCTGGTGCTCAGTATGGGAAGGTGAGGTGAATCTCTGCATTTTTAAATTTATTTATCCATCTCTCCTCCCCCGCCCTCATTTAGTGAAACTTTGGTATAAACCGGGATACAAATTTAATTTTTCTGATTAAATCAGTAACAGCTCACCAATTCGTTTTCTAAAGAAATAAGTTTTGTGTTTGTTTGTTTTTTTTTTTTTTTTTGTCTCCTCACCCCTTATCATTTTCCATCTGGGGAAACATTTACCATTCAGTAATAAAGCAGTTAGTGTGATTTTAAATTAATGAAATATTTTTATCAAAGAGCTGAGTTCAAATCCCAGTCAGGTTCGTTAACATTCACTTTCGCGCAAATAACCTTGGCATCATGATAAACTATATACGGCAGCAAGGATTGGGAGATTGGAGGTCTTGAGGAGCCTGGAACCACCTCTTAATTTTAGTTGCTTCCAGATCCACCTGGGGTGGTAGCACCTGTTAGGGTCTCAGCTATGGGCAAATAGTGAATTCCCCAAATAATGGGCAGCAATACATTCTTATAATAAAATGAGCAGCAATACATTTTTATGATCTACAAACTATATATCTAAAAAAAACATACCTTAATTCAAAAAGAATAAAATTATATATGAAATATTTGTAGCTGAAGCCATAAAATTGCTTTCAAAATAGATTTTGGCATTAAATACCTCATAGAGATTGATATGCCGCTAAACAAAATCAACAAATAACCTTGGGAAAGGTATGAATCCATCTCATCTACATCCAAAAAAAAAAAAAAAATGGCAACCTACCGTGGGAAAATCTTCTGCCTTGTAAGACATGTATCATGGATCACGTATGACACTTAGCTGACTGATGGAAGCTCATTAAATATCTTTCTAATATTGGTGGGAGTTGTCTTCCAAAGCTTTTGTTTTTGGTAGTGTAGAAAGTTAACAGTATATCCACTTGTTTTTGTTGTTACTACTGATGAACGTGCTCAAGGGATGTGGTTTTTATTTGATAAAAATCTTTGAATCTACCAATTTGTGGTCCCAATTCCCCTCTTGGCACCCTGAAATTAGCTGGTATGACTCTGTTTAATATAGGGGTTTTTAGTAGTGATTTCTGTCATCGGGCATTTTCTTTGGTCCAGCAGTGGACTGGTTCCAAAGGTGCCTGATTAAAGAGGTCAGGTTTTAATACTAAAAACATAAGTATTAAATCATCAATACCGACAATTCACTTAACTTCTGTTAGCTGAGATACAGTGATCCCTTGTTTATCGTGGTAGATTGGTTCCGAGACCGGCCGCAATAACTGAATTTCTGCGAAGTAGGGATGCCATATTTACAGTATTTATTTAACGTGTATTTGGACTTTTAAAACCCTCCCTGTACTGTTAACAACCCACCCATTACAGTACTCTATTAATAACAAGGACAACCGTTAAGCAATAACACTTTAGATTAAAAAAAATAAAGATTGTTACTGTATTCAACACGATAGAAGTTGAAGTAGAATTTGAATTGTGATGAATTTGCTGTGCAGTAGAAATGATGATGATGACTTCTACTGTGAAGCCGATAATTGTATTTTACGTCTCTTCAGACGGCGGTGCCATTTCTATTGCTATTTTACGCTTGTTTTGTTGTTCCTAGACCAGGAAATAATATTTATTATTAATATTTTAATGGGTTTGATGAAAACTTTTAGGTGTTCATATGTCAGGATTTTTCTAGAATTTTCCAGAAACTCTGTGATATATTTTCCATATATATATTTTAAAAATCTGTGAAGTCATGAATCCGCAATAGTAGAACCGTGAATTAGCGAGGGATCGCTGTATACAAATTTTTAACATTTTTTTTTTTTTTATTTTTTTTTATAAATGGTATTTGACCTATACTGAAAACTCAACAATAAATAAACAAAAATAGAATTTTACTGCTCGACTTTTTTTTCTTGCTGCCAGAGAGTACATTTTCTTTAAGGCCAATCGACATAATACTGCATGTCTAAAGTAAATCTAGCACTCCATAGTCTGGCCCTTTTTTTTTGAATCAGCCATTATGAAATCATTGAGTGGCTACAAGGACAGCACCACATGTTGCTTAAAACTTTCCACAACAGCAGAGTGCTTTGGTGATACTGTTTTACTCATTTTGTATAAATAGTTGTATACAGTAAGTATATTATTTTTTTTGTTTTTGTTTTTTGTGTTTTTTTTTTGTTTTTTTTTGCTTTGTGTGTTTTTTTTTTCAGTTTTTGTATTGCACAAAACAATAAAAACCTTGTTTGGAAGCATTAATAATTGTTTTATTTTCTATTTTAAGCTTGTTTTAACTTGGTAACACAACAATAAATGTGTGGAATGATCTGGCAAGACTGTTTACATAGGGCTTTTTAGTGGGGATTTCTGTCATCAGGCAATTTACATGGTCCAGCAGTGGTCTGGTCCTAAAGGTGCTCGATTAAAGAGGTCAGACTTTAATAATAACATTAAAGTATTAAGTCATCAATGTCCACCTATAAGCTAAGACAAATTTTTAACAGTCAGATATAAATGGTACTGACCTATACTGAAAGGTCAAAGTAAACACAAATAAACAAAACAGAATTTTAGTGGTTGACTTTTTTTTATGACTGCCAGAGAGCACATTTTCTTTAAGGCCAATAGACATAATACTGTATGTCTAAAGTAAATACTTACCTGGCGTTATGCTGGGGGTTTTGACAAATATTGGATCGTTTCTTGGCCTATGGCTGAGATTCGATCAAAGGCCCGATTATTTGGACTGGCTCCGCCTGGACTTGCTAGGACATGTCATGACCAGCTTTGACTAAGCTCTGACCAGCTTGGACATGCTTTGACCAATTTTGACCAGTGGCCTTTGAGTAGAAACACTCGGGTTTCCCACGTTAAACGACCTTGTGGGAGTCAAGTAAATACCTAAAGTAAATCTAGCACTCCATAGTCTGGCCCTTTTTTTTTGAATCAGCCATTATGAAATCATTGAGTGGCTGCAAGGACAGCACCACATGTTGTTTAAAACTTTCCACAACAGCAGAGTGTTTTGGTGATACCGTCTTGCTTATTTCATATAAATAGTTCCACAGTGAAGAATCCCCCCACCTACATGTAATTACTCAATATATTTTCCACTTATGTTTCTTATTAAAAATTTTAAGTATTTAAAAACATTGCTTCTTTTTTTCTAAGGTGATAGACCGGAAAGTACGAGAATTGAGTGTGGATGCAGCGTTGATTCCCTTAGACACACCAGCTTTTGCTTTGAAAGAAAAAGGTTACAAGTAAGTGTTATTTATGAAAATAAAAAAACACAAAAAAGTTTCTTTGTTTTATAAATTAGCAGAATGTAATACAGGAATTGAGAAGATATCTAGCATTTTCTTTTCATTGTTAATTTGAGGAAAGTCTACGGTGGAATAGCGGCTTGGATTGAGGAACCGGAGAACCGAGTTCAAATTCCAGTCGAATCCATTACATTCACTTATGTGCTAATGCCCTTGGGAAAGATATGAATCCTTTTCTTCTCCCCCCAGCTATGGGTAAATAGCAGGACAGACAGGGTTCTGTAGCCTTGGATGGAAACTGGTCTACTGCATAAAGAAATGGCAACCTACTGCGGGAAAATATCTGCCTCGTCCGTCATGTATCACGCATGGCATATAACTTACTGAAATTTACTTACGTGCTAGTACCCTTAGGAAAGGTATGAATCCTCTTCTTCACTCCCCAGCTATAGGTAAATAGCAGGACAGACCAGGTTCTATAACCTTGGATAGCAACTGGTCTACTGCAGGAAGAAATGTCAACCTACTGTGGGGAAAAAATCTGCCTTGTCAGTCATGATGCATGATCGCCTAAGTGTGTGTCACGCATGGAACATAATTGACTGACTTCTATGGTTAATAATGAAAATATTTATGCTATCTATTTTAATGGTCGGAGGATATTCAACCAAGAAAGTTGGGATAAAAAGCAACAATAAGATGAAGAAATGATTAATATTGAAAATACTTATGTTATATATTTTAATGGTTGAAGGGTGCTTTGAAATGGTGTAATGGTTAGCAAGCTTGCTTCGGTAGATCTATTACTACTGAATAATACGTTCGGTCCTCACCGGGTGCTCCACACTTTTGTCTGTGTGCCACATCTAAGCTATGCTTTGAAAATCATTTCAGGTACTTCGACATGGCGTAATGATTAGCAAGCTTGTCTCACTCCATTACGACTGAATCGTGAGTTTGATTCTCACTAGGGTCTTCATACTTTCGGCTTTGTAACACATTTCAGCTATATTTAGAAAATCATTTGAGTATGTAGATGTGGTGTAATGGTTAGCGAGCTTGTCTCACTAGAATAATTACAACTTAGCAGTGAGTTCGATCATTACTGGGTACACTGAATTTTTGGCCTTGTGCCACATCTATGCTATGCTTAAAAAATTCTCTATTTTAATGGTCGGAGGATATTCAACCAACAAAGTTGGGATGAAATGCAATGCAAAAATAGAAGAAAAATTAACCAAAAATGAATGCCAAAAATTCTCTCTACCCTTTCTTTGAGTATTTGCTTATTCTTATTTTTTTATTTTTTTTTCTCCATTTCCCAGAGCTATTATTATATCTGGTGGACCAAGCTCGGTCTATGCTGAAGATGCACCTCGTTACGACCCAGATATTTTTTGGTGTGGATTACCTGTTTTAGGGATCTGCTATGGAATGCAGGTAGGTTTAACACTTGATGGTATTTTGTCATAAGGTTTTATGGTGAGAGCAGGTGGTCATAGGGTTTAGTTGAGGGTGGTTGTTGTTGACCGACAGTCACAGAGCTCATAGTTAGGAACTCTTTAATCTGGTACACTTGAGACCAGGCCACTGGCGAACCACAGAAAATGCTGGATGACAGAAATAACCCATTTAAACATATATATAGTTTTGACATCTCTTATCACATATACAGTGTGACTGGAAAGAAACTCTTAGTTTAAAACTGTTAATAACTTTATTAATTATTGGTCAATTTTCATAAAACATGTTTTACTTGGAACAGTATAATGGTAGACGTATAGTGTAAGAAATCTACATTTTGCACATTTTCTTCCAATCTTCTGTGAATATCTAACACGGATCAAGGACTCTTCAGCTGATGGTTTTTTTTTTTGGCATCTACTGAAGCACAAGGTCCATAAAGACTGTGCCGCCATCACTGCAATTGCGCCGATGGATAGCTACACTTCATAATGAATGTATTATCTGGCGTTGTGCCATTCTGGGCTATGCTCTAGAATAAAAAAAGAAATTAGCAAATAAATCCTATCACTTTAGGGATCATGCTGTATCTTATTTCATGTAAATCTGGTGCTATTAACAAACGTTTTATAAGTAATTTTCAATAGAGTTTCTTTGGACCCGCTCTGTACATTGCCGTGTTATCAAAGGTAGGACAAAGGTTAAAACAGGAAATAAAACAATCATTAATGTTTCCAAACAAGGTTTTTATTGTTTCATGCAATAGAAAAAAACTTAAAACCCCAAAATAATATATATAGTTAAAATACTGTATGCAGCTATTTATAAGAAATAAGCAAGATTGTATCATCAGAACACATTGTCACCCTTGTAGCCGGTCAATGAGCTAATGGTGGCTTATTCAAAAAAAGTGCCATACCTTAGAGTGCTGGATTAATGAGGTTGGACTGTATATATTATCTTTCTATATTTCTGAGATGAGGTATTATGTACACTATTTATCGTGAGCAGAAATGATTGATCAAGAAAAATTAAATATTGCATGTTTTATAATCAGTAATTCTGACTTTGTTAACCAGATGCTTCTCTGTAGCTGATTGGTACAGCATATCAGGTCAAATGACAGTTTCCATATAGGAATACAGATTCGGTTCTTGTTGCAGAACGCATATTTTCTATGAAATTTCTCAAAGATTCAGGCCGGTAAATGTAATTAATATGGTTTAATTAAATGCAGGGTCTTCAGGGTATATGTATAAGCTGTGTTATGAAATGTAAAGGGATATCGTGTTTATGCTTGGGTTCCATTCCCAAGCTGTCCTATTTTATAGATTCTGTATACAAATTAAATAGCCTGTATTTCAAAATCCGAAAAAATATGAAAACCGAAGCACTTCCGGTCCCAAGAATTTCGGTAAAAGGATTCTCAACCTGTAGTAGAATCTATTCCACGATATAAATCTGATTTTTATTGGATGTACAGACTTATCTCCTCTTAGTAATGTGATTTTATAAAGGGAGATATTATTCAACATCAATCGGTGCTTTTTTTTTTTTTTTTTTATGTTAGTAGCATAATAAAAATTCTGTTTATCCCTCCTTTAGTTAGCATGACCATTAGACTCTGCCAATGCCTCATAAATAATGGACTATTTGGTTCAAGAATGCAGAAAAGACATCAGAGATACTACTTGGTTTCAGTGAGAACATGAATACAAGAAAGAAAGGAAATTTTAACATCTGCTTCAGTGAAATGGGAAAAGTTGTCAATTCAAATCTTTTATTTGTACCCCCTTACTTCTTAAAATAACAACCAGCATTCATATTTACGATTGTTATTGCAATATTTTGTTAAAGTTATTAATCGCAAATATTTAACAATGTGACAGGGTCAACAGCTATTTTTTTGGCATAGAACTCGCTATGAGCATATCTAATCATTAACTTAAGAATCAGAAATTTCACTAGTTCTTGTCCGATCACCAAAGTTAAGCAACATTGAACCTGGTCAGCACCTAGGTGGTTGACTGCTCAGGAATACCAGGTGCTGTAAATTTGGATGTGCAGGTGTAATGGATAATGGCTCGAGATTGGAAATTGGATAGCCAAGTTCCAGTTCCAGTCAGGTTCGTGATATTCAGTTATGTGCAATATCCTTGGGTAAGGTGTGAATCTGCCTCCTCTCCTCCCAACTATGGGTTAAATAGTAGGGCGTCACCCAGAAAATCAATGTTCTCAAATTCTTGCAATCCGAAAATGTTTCGGCTTTAAATAACCTCAAAGAGGTTGGTAAACCATAAAAAAAAAATGAATCGATCATTTCCAAAAGGAAAACAAATTTTTTAGGATATAAATGGTGTGGGGAGATAAATGTAAAAACAACAATTTTGTTATTTACATGCAGACTATTGTTCCCATCTTTGTTATCACGTTTCAACCATTATGTCTACCAACCTTCAGGGGAATTTCAAACTGAACCCTTTATTTAATTTACAGGAGTAGGTTGTTCTTGTTCCATTGCCTGTGTCTAGGGATATCTCACCTAGTTCTTATTTAGTACTGCTCAGTCATTGCTCACTCCATTTTCACGGAGTTGAAGTACACACTGCCCAGCCCAGGGGCATAACTTGCAATTATTATGTCATCAATTTCACAAGCCA